AGGAAGAGAACAGTGCTCAAAGGTATCTACTAGGAATATCTGAAATGCAGTTGAATCATTTTATCAGTGCCTTAATTTTAAATGTAAATGTTTTTATAGTCAGCAGTCCAGATTCTATCTCAGTTATAAATATCCCTAGATTATTAGCCACAGAAATATTGGAGTTTGCCTCCAGTTATCCCATTATTGTTGCATCTTTCACTGGGATGTTTTTTGACACATGCCAGTACCTGTCCATTTCCAGTTATTCCTTAGGATGCTGATACACAGATCAGGGCACGGAGATGTGCTCTCCTCTGAGAAGCAGCAGAATGGTTGTTCTGTCCATTTCCCACAGGAAGATTATTATTAGTTGACATGTTATCAGTTGCTTTGCCATTCAGACTACCTTTTCTATCAGCTGCAGCTGGCCTCTGTATGCGGTGGGATTCCCCTTATTTCTAACATCATGACTTTGATCTTTATCAGTTCACTGACCTGTCATTTGAAATGATTTGCTGCATCAATCTAACAAACTCTTCCCTACAGAAGCACAAGCTGTGAATGCTCTGAAGTTCACTTGTTCTCCTCTTTCTCTGCAGTCTTACTGCTACAGGTATCGCTGTGCAGCCCGTAGTCAAAACACTCCCGACAGCTCTGCTTCCAACCTGGGATTCCGCTGTGCAGCAGACACCTTGCCAGAGCTACAGTGACTACAGTGTACACTACGGTGTCACACCGAGACAGCAAGGGCAGAATTTCACCCATGGAAGAAGAGATGTGTGGAGTAGCACTTGCTGATGACACTAAAACTTCCTGCTGAGGAAAAAAAATCTAGCACTACTCAACAGTGCTTGAAGAACCTTTATGTATTTATTTTTGGGGAACATAGCCTGGACTTTTATCCTGACCAAACTTATCAGTGACTTCCGTTGATTTAACACAAGTATTCTGGAGGCAACCAGCACAAAACTGAGCAGAAATACGCCAGTTGTGTTTTTAAAGGTTAATTAACAGCTACTTTAGTAAAAGTTCTTTATTAAATAGTTTTATTTATGCATAGTTCTGAATTTCTACACTCAAATCCAGTAACTTTATAATTCTATACAGCTTTAAAGGACAACCGAAGGAGTGAAGAGGGAGGACTCGCAGAGAGCTGGCCACACAGGCAGTTAGTGCAGCTGTGCTGTTATGTTCCTGCTGCAGTGAAAATCAGTCCAGAAATGTGCTTTTTCTGGTGAGATACTTGCTCCTCTTTATAAAGTGCCTTCTGCAACTGAGGGATGCTAATCTTCAGGGTGATGGCGATTAGAAACGTTGTACATATTTGAATAAAACTTCATGCATTCATTTTTTCGGAAGACTTTTACTGATGGAAAAACACTGTCAATTTCCCCTGAATTTCTTGGATGCGCTGTAGGCTTATTTTGGGGACTTGCAAATTGCAAAAATGGCATCATTATAAACTGAAGCTTACAAATGATTCTACTTAAATAAAGATCATTAAAGTGAAAAGATGGCAATGTAACTGTGAGCCCTAAGGCCTAATAAGGTAAGTTTTGAAACTGTTCTGTTAATAAATTGCACTTAAAAGGAAATTTTAGCAGGGAGGGAAGTAGGACTAGTGAGAGCCACCTTGTTAGGGCATCTGAATGTATTTCATGCCTTTCATGAAGTGCTTTGTACTGCCACCCGCTCCAGGGCACAGCATCTGGTTGTATTTCTCTGTTGGGCTATCGCTTGCTCCAAGTGCAGACATAACCAGAAGCTACCTCTGCAGTGAGGCAGCAGGAGCAGCAGGACTATGCTTACAAACAGGTCCCTGCCCTCTTAAAGGCTGCGGTGCTGCCCGCGTGTAAACTGAGGATAACTGGGCTGTCCTGCTGGATTTTATTGTGTGAAAAACACTGCACATTAACAACTTTGGCACTGATGTATCCCTGCCAACATTGTGTTTTCTACAGTAAATGGGGGTTGGGTTTAATGCAACCTGGGGTTAATACAAACCCACTGCTTGCCAGCTCCTTCTCTGCCAGTGCTCCATGCTGAAAAGAAGACCCTGGAGAACATCTTGGAAGCTCTTCAGCAAATACCAGCCTCTGGTGGGGGGCAACAGCAATTCTTGCAAGTGGAGGGGGAAGAACTATTCAGAATGCACCACTATGGCCTGGCACTCACATAAGCATGATAAAAACTGTGGCAAGTATTTTGTGTGATAAGGACTGCTTTAAATGAAATGTTTCATTAAAATCTATGCATTCCAACCATCTATTTTACTGTGAGGAATAGTAAAAGAGTCTTTCTGTCTTTATTTCTAAGAGGCATGTTTTTGCCACAAGAAGGAATATACTTTATGAAAGATTTTGACTGGAGTCATTTTGCTTTTCATTCTGGAAAAAAAAAATTCCTAGAAAAAGATACACACAAATGAAAAAATTATTATGAATTCAAGTAAACAGTTTCACGATCACTATCAGGTATGTCATCATTGTGCTGTTGTTGGCATGTGGGGGAAAATTTTCCTGTTTGCCTGGGGAGATGGTGGAATGTGTCCCATTCATCCTGTCTTTGTTAGGGTAATGGCTTCTGTGTTTTACTATAAGGTCTTTCATTGAACATCTTTGAATTAATCTGACCAGATTTCAGTAAGAAAGTAAATCTCCAAACTCTAGTGAGTATTGAAGTATTGATAATCATTACTGCACTTTGTGAGCAGAAATGAGGAGGAGGATTTCACCAGTCTCACAGTCCTCAGAGCCACTGGGTTGGATTCAGTGTGAAAGAACACTAAACTACGGAGAGGTAGATTAGGACTCTGAAACTAAAAGGAACCTGAAGGAAAAAGTGAACAGAAATTCAGCAGATAGAAACAAAGGTCTGTTTTCTTTTCCAGTTCCTTTTAAGGGGATTTTTTTTTTTTCCTTCAGCAGATAAAGCACTAGCACTACAGCCCAGGGCAGCTGTAGTGTAAGGCAGTTCAAAGCCCAATGCACATGCTCTGTGAAAAAGGCCATTAACAACTGCTGTGATGGTTTAAAACTCAATGACAACATATTATTTAATGTTCTTGCAAAGCCTTTCAGGTGGCTGGCTGTTTTGCAACAATGGCTCTCTTGTTCCACACTGTGGAAGCTTGTCCTGACCAGGTAACTGATTATTTGCTTTACTTGCTGCAAACAGCATCAGTTGGCTTAGACAGCAAGGGTTTGATTGCAGAGACAGATGGCTTAGCTGTATTCTCTGGTTTAAGGCTAGTGATGCAAGGGTGAGATACTGCTAACGGTGTTTGGGGTTTTGTGTTTTGGGGGTGGATTTTTGTGACTCTGCACTTCCTTAACTACTCACAATCATGCCAAGTACATATTCATAACAGGAAGCTAACAAACCATGCCGCCCTCCTGAAAATGAGGAATGCAGATGGTGTAAAACTAGTCTTGAAACTTTTTCCAGGAGGGACAGAGGAAGTAGATTGGATCATCTGCTCCCAGCCTTCCAGTCCTGCAGGCTGAAAGTGGCTGGCATAGTGCCCTTTAGGAGAAGAACACCAGATAAGCCTCCACAAAGAACAAGAAACCCTGCACTCCAAGCAGCACGTATTCCAAGCGCCGGGATCTGGAGAACGGCTCTGTGGAAGCAGGCACCTTAACCAGGCAAGGAATAAGGATAATGGCCCCATAGCCATTAGCAGTAAACTACTTTTGACAGGCAGCTGAAATCCTGTCAAAGGTTGTGGGTACAGTTAAAATACCAAACTGTGCAGAGCAAATAACCCCCAGGGATTTGTGTCACCAACAGCACACTGTGCATGACTGTGAAAAGCAGCACTGCAAGTTGTCTGTCAAAGCTGGGGGGAATTCAAAACAACCCTGTTTGAAGCTTCCTTAGTTTGACCTTTCTAGAAAGGAAGTAAAGTAACATACAGTTGCAGGGCATACCTCATCCAGCAAGTGCCTTTGTGTATCCCTGGCATAAGGGGATGCTCAGTAAAGCAGCATACCTGTGTTAGACCAGCACAAACACTACTGAAAGAAGATGCAATGACCTCCCTCTGATGGGGAGGGACAAGCCTTGCTTAATGCTGTCTGCCTCTTTAGGAACTGTGAAAACAAATCAGTTAGTAGCTGAAAGGAACACTTGTGTAACTGCCACCCATTCAACAAGGTAAAAAGACAAATTTCTTGTTCACATGTATTTATCTATTTCCCGCTTAATCCATCTCAGAAGTCAGGATAACCATCATACCGCTTAAGACTGGAGAGTCTGAATTTGCTTCCTGACTGTGTAATAACAGTGCTGGAAAGTAACATGGACATGCTGCTTGCTATTACTGCAGAATCTTACTAGATGAGCTTTGGGATAGATGTCACCCAAAAAGATGGGCTGACTGTACTTGGAGCCTGCAGAACCGTAGGATTTACACACAAGCTAAAGGGTAATGGAATTGAACCAGTCACTCAAAACCTGATTTTGGCATGCAGCTGGATGTGACTGGAGACGGAAAAGGGGGGTGGTGGGGGCAAAGTATTCAAGCTAATCTTTCTGGACAAAATTTTTTTACATCAGTAATAATTTATGTTTTGTGGAACAAAAAATTTATAGCAAATAAGTTAAAGAAAGTGATTTATTTGCATAGGATTTAAGAAACCTCCCACCTTTCTATTACATATCATGATTCTTCAATCACAGAATCACAGAATAGCCAGGTTTGGAGAAGACCTTAAGATCATCCAGTTCCAACCCCCCTGCCATGGGCAGGAACACCTCCCATTAAACCAAGGCTCTGTCCAACCTGGCCTTGAACACCATCAGGGATGGAGCATTCACAACTTCCCTGGGCAACCCATTCCAGTGTTTCATTGCACTCTGTTGTGTAGTTTTCAGCAAGGTTTCTTCTTGTTACAACATATCCTTTCAGTGTACCAGTGCTCAAGTTCATTCCTTTTGAAAGGTATAAACCAAGAGAGCTGCTCTAACATACAGCAAGCTGTTAGAAGAAAACAGGAAAAAAAAAAACAAACAAATATCAGGCCTGGCTTTATTGTGGAACATCCTGAAGCTCTAGTACTCCCTCATGGCACCCACCTCAGAAGCAGTCTCTGGATGTTGCATGAAGTTATTCTCAGTATCTTGACTTTTAGTTATTGCTTAAAACCAGGTGCTTTCTTGGTGGAATACACAGTTTTAGTTAACTGCAATATAACTGCTAGAGAAAATCATACTTGTCAGGTATGCTTACAGCCTGAAAACCTATGGAGAGCTTCCTGAACAAGCATTTGGTGTGGAAAAGAGGGAGCTGTCCCAAGGTAAGAAGGAAGCACATGTGCGGGAACCACAGTAGCAAGGTTTCCTCAGTCTGTTGTCTTCCTCTAAGGATTTTTGTTCTTTGTCAGTTACTGCTAAATTATAGAATCTTCCAGAATAATCAAATGAAAGTTCCTCTCCAGCAGAAATGTCTGTAGCTGCAAAAAGTGCCAGCCTAGGCACCATTGAGTCTACTCGAACTGGCACCATAAATAAATTGGGTTCACAGGAATGATTCAGGAACCTACCTACATTACCTATGTACATAGGGTCAACAAACGTCTCCATTGTCTCACCGTTATGGAGGTGCTCCCTTACTGCTATAATATAGTTTGAATCCTTTGATGTCTGGGCCTGAATTCTTCTACATGCCTCACTAAAGCCTAAAACTTCACCAGCGTATTCACAGACAAATCTTCCTTTAGCTATGAATTCTAGTGTACGGAGACCCCACCCTTTCTTCTCAGTCTTGAACACCTCAAGTCTGAACTGCAAACCCCTCTGAACAACCCTGTTTGGGCAGGATTCACCACAGTGGCACATGGCATTGCATTCAAAAACAGGCCTGGCGTACTCCTCCTCTTCCTCTGTAGGCCTCAGGCACAAACTGTTGTAATTTGCACCACGGCAAAGGCACGAGCACACGTGAACCACACAGGAGCTGGTATGACAGGAACATCCTGGAAAGGTGATTTCAGTGGGATCAATGTCTCCATCTGCTCCAGCTACGTTGTCTGGGCTGTACTGTGAAAAGAACAAGAGTCAAATCCTCACCATGCTCAATGCTTCTTTCCACAGAGCTACCCAATTTTTAAGAAGCTTGTGTCTGGCAGTACCTGATCACTGAACTCATGAACACTTCTTTGCTTGTAAACTTCTAACTACAAGTCTAACTTTTCTAAATTACTTGAAAGAATGTAAATCAGTCTCTATAAACCGAAAAAGAATCAATAGTCTCTTAGTGACCCAATTCCTCAAACTATTCTACTAGCCAGAAAAAGTAGTACTTCTTAGAAGGAAAAACACATCAACTGATTGGCTCTAGTTTAGTAGCTATGAATTTTATTTATGGTAATAGCAAAGTAACTTCCCCCCTTCAAAGCACTCAATAAGCTACTTACAAGGTTAGTCTACAGCTATTTTAACTTACAGAATTTCAAATGTCCATTTTTGTTGAAGATACTTCCAATTTATCTCTTCACCTAGCACACCTCTACATCTTTACAAAGCAGCTGAGCTACCTATTCTGTTATCAGGGCAGAACTGGTATGAGATGCTGTTTGCTTCACCTTCAATTCTGGCTGTGGGGATAGACGTGGTTCAGCTCAAGCAACCCAATTTGAAAATCAGACTATAAGAATTACACTAATGCCCCCAGCAGGTGAATGATTATGGAATCATGGACTGTTGCAAAATGAAAACTGACAGAAACTTTGCTACATTTGAAAACCAAAATATAAAGACAGCTACATGTATATTTTTACTTCTGTCTCTGGATTCAGCTCCCAAAGCTTTATTTAGAATCCTGGAGTATGTGCTGTTACTAAATATTACACTTCACAGTAACTCATGTCTGGTACCTTCTGGGTGTTGTTAAACATGCCAGTTAATCGGAAGTTTCTGTTTTCATAAGCATCAGCTTTCTCAATCACTTAGCTGTATCCAAAAGCAAGTTTAATAATCCCTTATCTGTTCGTGTCTTCTCCCATTCACTAACTGCAAGCTTTCCTCTTTCTGTAAAACATCCTTACACTGTGCAATTTAGGAAGTTTAAGGTCTCTCTGGATTACATATTTACTTTTCCCCCAGCCTTTCTAGAAGCTTCTTCATTCTGTTTTGTAAAGACTCTCCAATATCAGTGAAGCAAACTCTATGGCAATAAGGTGTACTTCCAGGAAATGCATTTGGGAGCTACCACAATACAGAACACAGCAGAAGCTGGTCTATGCCTGAGAAAGTATGAAAAAAACTTTAAGTATAGGAAAAGGGGGAATGGCTTTGAACTGAAAGAGGGTAGATTTTTTTGTTACATAAAAGGAAGAAGTTCTTCCCTGTGAGGGTGGTGAGACATCGGCACAGGGTGCCCAGAGCAGCTGTGTCTGCCCCATCCCTGGCAGTGTTCAAGGCCAGGTTGGACACAGGGGCTTGAAGCAACCTGCTCTAGTGGAAGGTGTCCCTGCCCGTGGCAGGGGTTGGAACTGGATGAGCTTTAAGGTCCCTTCCAACCCAAAACATTCTTGATCGTTCTATATTTCTAAATTATGTCTTTCCTTATGAACCACTCCTGACGGCTGTGCAGCAGAAAGTGTCTGCCAAGCCTGTCAGCTTTTGACTCCCAGTCTAGTTTCAGCCTACAGCCGATGCTAACACCCTGCAGCATAAGAACTTTGCTCCTCCTAAAGGGTGACATCTTAACCGAGCGATTAAAACCTACAAAACGCCACAAATCGAGAGAAAACTGCATATATACGTAACTAAAGTGCACGGCTAAGAACAAGCACTTTATAACACCAGAACCGCGGGCTGGTGGCGGAGGTGAACGGGGCCCGACAGCCCTTCCCGCCGGGCGCCCCCTGAGGGGGTCGAGGCAGGCTGGCTGAGAGCACGGAACAGGAAACCGGCTCGCTAAGGCGCGCCGGGCCGCTCCTCCTTCCCTTCTTCCTCCCCACCACCCCGGCCCGGTTCTCCGGGCGGCCGCAGTCCCCGCCCCTACCTGAAAGGCCGGCGGGGCCTCCGAGGGCGGCCATAGCGCCACGGCCACCGGCTCCAGCCCTCCGCTCAGGTCCGTCCCCGCCGCCATCGCCCTGACTCCGTCCCCTGGCCCTCTGGGGATTGGCTCTCGGGACCGAATCCTCTCTCTGATTGGGTAGCGGCGGTGACGCACCGCAGCGGGAGCGCAGGCGCTGTGGTAGCTTAGGGCGGCCGGCTGGAGTAGGGTGTCGCGTGCTCGCCTTAGGTGAGGCGTGAAGCCGCCATGTTGTGGGGTCCGTGCCTCAGCGAGGCTGGCGTGGAGCCGCCATGTTGTGGGGTCCGTGCCTCAGCGAGGCTGGCGTGGAGCCGCCATGTTGTGGGGTCCGTGCCTCAGCGAGGCTGGCGTGGAGCCGGAACGCTTCTGGGCGGCGAGGGGAGCTCTGCGCTGGCGAGCGCCGGGGGAGGTGGCTGCACTTGACCAGGGGCTGGGTGGGCTCTCACCCCAGGTGACTGCCAGCAGTGATGCTACCATCCCGGGTCACTCCCAGCGATGGGACAGCCCCTCCAGATACCGGTGCGGCTTTGTGTGGAGTGTGTAGTTTTAAACCTGAGTAGTTTTAACTGTTAATTATAGTGTTACTGTAAATTCTTTATTATTTTTGAAGTTAACCAGTGTTTGGCATTGTTTGTGGGTGTTGATCTTACAAGGCCTAGAAATTCTGCTGGCTGTACCTGGGCATTTGAGACAGCAGCCATCTCCTGGGGATGGAAAAGGGTTTTGCAGGTTTTGTACCTCCAGGCATGCAGAGCAAGGGCCTGGTCTTCCCCTTGTCTACTTTGTCAGGAGATAATTCAGTCCCAGTAGTTCTCTGGATGAATGGACCCATGCAACTGACCTATGGCTTGGTGTGGGAGGCCTTCCTGGTGCTGTGCCTGATGTTGTAAAGCAGTCGTGGCAGATCTGCTCCAGTGCAGTGTGATGGAATAGAGCAGTCACACGTGGTCTCGCCTCATCTCTGTGAACAGCGGTCTGAGCTGTGGCTAAGAAAAGAGTCAGACTTGTGCTCTTTGGGTGCTGGTGGTTCCACTAGATTTTGTGTTTTCCCCTTGGGTCAGCTGTTTTGGAGCCAGCCTGAGGTTGAGGAACCATCTTTTAATATCCTTCTTCTGTTTGCATGAGCTGTGTTTTCATTTTGAAACCAGTTATCCAGAAACGAGCTTTGCAGATTTAGGAGACTGAAATCCCTGGAGCATGTTCTGTGCCCCTCTAACATGGTATTATTATTTGGGTCTCCTGCCCTGCAGCTGTTACTGATGTGACTTTTGTGATCACTCTCTGCAGCATCCAGGAAATGGAAAACCTGCACCTATTGTGTCCCCTTCCTCCTACCTGTGAAGAAGAGCTGAGCAACCCCAGGAGAGGTGCAGGTAAGACTGGATGTTGACATCTATGTTTGTGGGTTGAACAGTTAACTGGGTAGCAGAATTCATACAAAGATGATGAATGGAGTTGTTTAGGATTATATTTTGTCTGTAAAGAGAAGGAAAAGTATGATAAAGGAAATTCTGGAGGTCAGTGCCTCCCAGTATCTGGCCTCTATCAATTTTGGGAAGACTTTGATCAGTTTAACCCTTTGATTAGTGTAGGCTGCTGTGAATGTAAAGTGAATGTACCTGTAGCATCAGTGCTTTATAACTGGATGGAACGAAAATGGTGGAAGGCTTTAAATACACACAGCCTGCCCCTCTCATTTTGTCCTCTTAAGCAGCAGTAAAGCTGTTTCTCGTGGATGCCTCTGAGCTTTGGCTTCTTGGGGTTTTGTGTTTTCTCATTGTGGGGAAGGCTGTAGATCAGTTTTATGAGGTAGATGCTGAAATGTCGAGTGATTGCAGATACTGAAATATGTTTTTATTTTGTAGTTAAGGGCTTTCTGCTATTACCAAATGACCTTTAGATCAAGACACACATAATTTGGCTGCTAATCCTTAGTGCCAGATGGAATTCTTTTCAATTTTTGAGCGACAGAAGTAATGAGTCATTACTCTGTAGTGAAAGAAACAGATTGCTTATATGTGCAGAAGATGCGGTTTGGAAATATGCAAGAGGTAGTGGAAAATGCAGTGTTTTCCTCCTTCTCCCACCCAGGGCTTCTGTTGTATTGAACTATGAACGGGTTGAACTGTTGAATTGTCCAGGTTGGGTGAAAAATCGATGAAAGCTCATTTTCATTTGTTATGTAAAATTGTTGTTGGAAGAAAGCTTAAAATGGAGCTGAAAAGAGTGAACTGTACGTGAACCTTTTGCTGCTGAACTAAGGCACCTGGTGCAGCTGTGAATTTCTTCTGCAACATGCTGTGCTGTCTCTAGGAAGAGGCTTGTATGAATCATTTTTCTTTGGTACTCTGAGTGCATTTAGCTGTTAGTTTTTTTCCCCAGTATAATGCTTTCTGTTGATTAATTTTTATGACTTGTCTGCAGTTTCTCAGATTTCTTGATATCACTTTCATAACTGGAATTTGGAAGGGTCACTGTGCTGGAACTGTGAGTTCATGTGAAAGCTGTCTTCATCTCACGTCACGGAATTTTTGGGATTCATGCAGTATATTGCAACAAGGTGATGGAGCTCAGGATGGTGCGAACTGTGATTCATCAGACTGCAACTAAGGGAGCTGTGCTCAGAAAGCTGGGCACAGTCCCAGTGTAGAAGGAGTTGGATATAAAGCTCCTTGTGTTTTCTGGTAGGCAGAAGGCCCTGAAATCAAGGAATACTTTTTTTCTAAGAGATTTCTTTCTCATGTCAGTGTGTTGGAAGTCAAGTAATCTTGGGTGATCAGTACATAGTACTAATGTACTAACACATACTACAGCAATTTCATGCATTCAGTGTGCCATCATGAGTACTGTTGGTTGGAAGGGAACTCTAGTGATCTGGTGCAACCTTTTCTTCAACTAGGAGTCTTGGGACTGTTGTGCTGCATGGATTCCATTGTAATCCCCAAGGTAGTTTTCAGTGGGATTGCCCCTCAGATAGTTCCCAGTGCACTGGTGTAAGAGGATTCTATGCCCCAGGAATACTCTTACATTGGTCTTCCATTTGGCTGGACCATTGGAGTATTTTCTGTCTCGAGCTTGCCTTGAGGAACACAGGCAAGTTAGGCCATGCAAGATGGCCACTTTAAATTCCATAGCACAAGAAGTTGTTTGCTACCTGCACTAGAAAGAAGGCTAAAAAAGTTATTTTGAAGGCTCCCTTCAGCTTCCTAGTTTACTACAGAACTGATCTCTGGAAGAATAAAATATTCCTTTTAAGTATTTTGTTTTACATTGCACATGGTTTCTGTCTGATTTTGTTCTGAATAGGCCATTCACATAGTTCTCAGATATTTAAACTTGCTATTTTACTTCAAAAGGAAATAAATCTCATGTGATATACTGGAGGTGTTTCCTGCAGGAGACCTGAAGTGCTGCTTAAATTGTGATGTTGAGTGCAGACAGTCCAAGGGGACTTCAGTCTGTCATTCCCAGGTTGGGAGTTTTATCTGCCTTATCTGTGGTCTCTTCAGGTTGTGTCTTCCTCCTTCTCGAGTTAATCTTAGATACTTCTTTTTTCTTTTAATTCCCTTGCTTACAGACTGTTCTTTTTGTGCTTCTGCTCTTCTTGTGTCAGGTTTAAGTTTTCCTTTGATTTGCCCTTCATTTCTGGATAATCATCAGGTGAGTGGGCATGTGCTCTATACTTCTGCCAGTCTAGTGTGTGTCTATTAGAATATTGATTTGCAGAGAGTAAGTATAAAAAATCAATATCCCATTAAATGAAGTAGAGTGACAATGTCCTAAGACTGTAGACTCTGTTAGTCAAGTCCAAAGGCTAGTGTCTAGACTCCAAGGTGGTGGGGTTTTGCCCATGTGGTCTTGGCTAGGCGGGTAAGATAAAGTGAACACATCCTCTTACGGTTTTGTTCACGCATGCTAATGTCTGCAAGACTTACTACAACCAACCAAATCTTAAGAAGTGTTGGTAATGCAAAAGGGTGTCTTGATGTATTGTGACACTTGTGGTTTATTGCTTTCTAATAGTAAACCAGAATATAAATGTTCTACAGTGTATTTAGGCAGGATGTATAGATGTGAGCAGGCTGATCCTGCATACAAGCGTCTGTTTCTCAGTATTCAGAGAAGTGTGGAAAGACCAGGTGTAAAAATTTCTGTTGTTTATATTCAATATGAGATGCCTACCACCTACAGAGAATAAATGCAGCTCACCTGACTGCCCCCCTGTTCTCTGCACAGTAGTCTGCCGTTTGAAGGTGGGGAGTCAAAACATACGTATTTTTCCATTTTCTACTTTTGAACCATTCTCAGACCATTCTGCAGTTATTTCAAGATATGCTACTTGTACTTCAGTGCTAGTCATAAACATCTGAATGACCACAGGTATGATTCCCTTCCATGCACATGAATTACTGTTACTGTCTTTCAAAAAATTAATAAACACATTAATACAGTCTCCTGATTGCTTAGCTGGAAAACCAGGTTTTGTGCATTTACAGCTCAATTTGTTTATGCTTTATACCTGGTAAAGTACATTAAAGTACCTTTTGGGTTGAGAATTTGAAATGCTGAGAGGCTGCAGTCTTTGCAGTGAGTCGGCCATGTCATTGTGCATTACCAGTTTGGCTGGCATACTGCCTGCCTCTTGCAAGGTCGAGCTCATTACCTCAGTCACACCTGGCCCTTGCTGAGTTTGGGAGCAGGACTTCTGAGGGGCCTTCTGAGCCTGGGGCTCCTGCCTTGTCAAACTGCCTCCTGCTGTGTGCTAATGAGCTGGCTAAATCTTCCATGAGTAAATGGATGCTGGAATGAAAAGTCTGGTAATCATGTTTATAAATCCAAAGAAGGAGAAACTGAAGATCAGTTTATTTAAGTATTCCTTAGCTGTGCAGAGAGGAGTGACCTTGGAAAATGCTGTGTTTGAATAACACAGTTTTCCAAAATATCTCCGAGTGCTTTGCAGAGACAGATGAACTTTGTTTCCTTTCTGGTACAGATAAGATAACTGACTCAGAAACAGATGAAATGAGTTACCAGTGGTTGAGCCATTGTTCTTGGTTATCACAGGGCTCCGCATTTCATCTCTCATCATGTGTTGCTCTTGCAGCATCGATTAGGTAATACAAATCATAAATCTCTTTGCCAATACACAAACACTCAAAGTCTTGACTTCTGTATGAGTAACAGAGTTACTTAATCTAACATTTTGTCCTATCCTCAGATGTAACAAAACAA